AGGCTAAATTTTGCTGCCAGCTTAGCATAGATCTCCAGGCCAAATAAATGTCATATAAAAGAATAATCATAATAAAATAGGATGGGTTGATGAAAGTTAGACCTTAATAAAATTTCTTATAAAATAAATTATAAATATTAATTCAAGTAATTATAAATAAAAATTTGAATCGCAAACCAAATATTATATTTAAAATGTAAATATTTTATTTATAATTAAAATTTTTAAATTTATAATTATTTAAATTGATATTTATAATTTATTTTTTAAAATTTTTTATCAAAAATCTAACTGTTGTTAAATTTTTTAAAACTTAACTGTCATTTTTTTATTTATAAATCATATAAATTTACAAACAGTAATATTAACCGCTAACAAATAATAATCCTTCCTACCCTAATTATAGTTAGAGTTAATCAACTTTCCATTTTTAAAAAATATTAATTAATATTCTTAAATTCTTAAACAAAAATTTGAATTTTTAATTTTATCCTTTATTAAAATTAATGACTATGTTAAAGTGCATTTAAAAATTACAACTTTATATAATTAAAACGAGACAATATTAAAGAAACAGTTATTACATCTATGTTTTATTTTTAAAATTAGAGTTAAAGTATATTTTTTCTTCTAAACTTACCTTCAAAAAATATTAAGTACTCTATATTAATAAGTAAGGCATGCTTTTTTCTAAATTATTTTTCAGTTGAGCAAAAATCTTCTTCCGTTGGTGATCTGTTAATGGTGAAAAATTTTTACTCATCTAAAAAATGGCTTAAGAAAAACAATATTTTACTCATTAGTACAAGATGTTTGACGTTCTTTGAAGAAAAGTATAAAAAAAAAATACACTACTTCTTGAAATATGAAAATAAAAATAAGATTTCACAAAATGTCGTGATTTTTTTCAAGTTCTTAGAGACTATTATGACATTGATGATTTTTTATAAAATAAATAAAATATTCCCAATTTATAATAAAAATAAATATTATTTATTATCTTAATTTAAATAATGATTACTTTTCTTTTGACAATAACTAAAATGGAACAAACAATTACAATCTTCCAATAAAAATTTTTGATTCATTGAAATTCAAGCGTTATAAATATCCATAACTATTTTAATTTAAGTAATAATTATTTTTTTCAACAATGACCAAAATAGAAGAAGCAATTATAATTTTCCCTGTACATTTTTCCTTTATATTTTCATTTGAAAAGAATCAAGTGCCCTACACTAATAAATGAAGTATTTTTCTCTCTAAATTATTTTTTAAATAAGCAAAATTTCCCGTCGGTTCATTTTAACCCTCAAAATTAAACAAAACTTTAAAATTTTGTCTTCTAATTAGGGTATAAAGGAGTATGTTGATGTTTACTCTTCAAATTGTATATATGTGTAAAAAAAAAAGTGTGTATTTTACCCAAAAAAAATAAATAAATAAGTGTGTAATTATGTATTCAAATCAAATATCCAACCAGCAACTTGCCCATGGAAACAAAGTCGAAAACCGGGGGCTATTGACATAACCTATGACTTGCGGGCTATCTATCACGTTGTGGAAAAGTTTACATTTACAATTAAGAGTTAAATAAGATATTTAATTATTTAAATTCAATTATTTTAAGCTTTATATTATAAATCATCTAGTGACTATTTTAGAGTTGAAACTTTTAATATCATTATTAATCCTATATTTTTTAAAAATAATTTTTTTAAACTATTTCAACGTAAATATTTTTTTTAAAATCTTATCTTGATATTCGTAATCCAAGCAACCATCACTGAGTAACCTTAATACGAGAATCATATGAGCTTTTGGAAATCAGCGGCGAAATCAGAGGCACCGAAGAGTCTTGGCCCCTTAAGTTTTTTTTAGTCTTTTTTTTTTTTTGTTTTTGGATGTCGGCTTGCGAACCTGTGATTTGAAGCTTAAAACATGGCAACAAACCACCAATGCACAGAGCGGCGGCGGCGGCCACTTGAATATTTAGTCCCGTTCATACAAAAAATTGGGTGGTAAACAATAATACAATCAATATTTAATATAACATAATCCTTCCATCTTAAATTATAAAATACTTTTAGAATAGATTTAACATTTTAAAATATAAAATATTTTAAGAAGATTAAAATTTTATTAAATATATTTATTTAAATATTACTCTTTCTTTCTCTATAATTAATTTCATCCATTTTCTTTTTAATATAGTAAATAATAGATATTTTTAAAATTTTATATTTTTATTATGGAAAGATAAGATTGTTAAATGTATTTGATAAAATTTATTAATATATAAAATTTTGTCTAAAAGTATTTTATAATTTAAAATGGATAGAGTATCATTTGTAAGCAACTAATTACATGGGAAACTTATTCTATTTTAAAATTTGTTAACATATACTCCCTCCATTCGTAAAGTATTTTTAGTCTTTCAAAGTATAATCATTATCTTTTTTTTTTAAATATCTCTATTGATAGTGACTTTATGTTTATTATAAGGTGTTTAATAGAGATAAATATAAAAATATAAAGTTAGTTGAAAAGTAAGTGCCTATTTTATTAAAGGTGAGATTCAATTAAAAATATCTTACATTTTTTAACGAAGGGAATATTACTTTCGTTTTAAAATATAAAACATTTTTAATTAAATTATATACTAAATAAAGTAGTTAGTTGTCCCTCAACTAACACTATCTTTTTATATTTATTCTTAATTGATTGAGCATTTCTTTTTAAAGTAAATAAAAAGTAACTTATTTATTAAGAACATTATTAGTAAAAGTACATTAATTATATCTTAAAATTTAAAAATATCTTATATTTTTAAATATTTAAATTATTTTAAAAAGCTTTAGATTTTTGAAAAAATAAAGTATATTAAAAGTAGGGTTAAGAGTAAAAAATATTTTTAAAATACACACAAAAGATTATAAATAATCCTAAACTTAACTAAAAATTTTTTATATCCTTCAACCTGAAAAGTTCTTTAGCTTATCACCCTTTCGTGTATTTTGTTAATTTTTTTTAGTAGGGTCCACATGTAAATTTTTAAATATTTTTATTATAAAATATTTTAAAGTGGGTCCCACCTTTTATTTTTTAAATATTTTCTCCTCCCTCCCTCTGCAACTCGATCCAATCTGTCTCCTTTCTTCTTCACCTTCTTCTCATCTCTCTCCCCCTCTGCCTCTCTCTCTCTCCCCCTCCTCTCTCTCATCACCTTCATGCGTTGGAACTGCATTATAGAGAGAGACAAGCTAGAACTCCAAACTCATCTTAGGTCTATGTAAGGTGGACAATAAGGTATAAAACTTACGGAAGAAGATCACTATGAGCTAGTATAGGCTACAGCTAACGTTCTGCATCTTCATCTCCTTCTTCTAGCAGATGACGAGCATCAACATCACCATGTTTTACGCTCCCGTGCTCTTCAATACTCTGGGCTTTGGGGACGATGCCTCCCTCATGTCGTCAGTCATCACTGGCACGATCATCCTACTGAGCTTGCATGTGCAATCCTACTGGTGGTGAAGTACAGCATAACAGGGCAAGGGTCGATAAACAAGGGGGAGAGTGACGCCTTCTTGTTCCAGAAAGAGGATGCTTGACATTCAAACCCTGCATGCATGCACTATCAATTTCCCTTTCAAAGTGCTCTATTCTCCCCTATTTTTTTTTTTCTTAGAAACAGAGACAGGCTAAGGTGCAAGGGAGTTAGGCTCGAATGTCAAGCATGCTCAACGTGGAGGAGAGGGAATGAAAGAGAGAGAAAGTGGGGAGGAGAGAAAGGGTAAAACTAGACTTAGGAGCTATGGGAGATCCTTGTTAGAGGAGACAGAGGAGACAGAGGTAAGAAGGATATGGTATGAATCTTGTGTTCATGGTATGAAGCTTGCTTGGGATTATGGTTGTCATGCCAACAAGTCATTGTTGAAACAAATTCGATGGAAGCTTTAGAATTGATAAAAGCTGCATAAATCAAAACCCACATGATCGCGAGCTTCATGGTTGCTGTGGTTATGAACTCGATGGGCATGTTGAAGACAGAAGTGATGAACATGAAGGTGGGAAGATGCCATACTTCGATGCGATAGACCCTTCACTGTGATGGTGCTTTTTGTGACACTTGAAGAAGTTAGCTGCTGAAGGATTTTTGATGATAGAGCTGTCGAAGAGAGCGAGGGGGGGGAGAAGAATTTTTTATATTATAAAAAAAAATTGATAGGAACACTAAGCAATAATTAATAATAAAAATTTTAAAAATTTTAAAAGTGGGCCCACAAACAAAAAAAAGTAAGGTAATGGAGTAAAGAATTTTTTGGGTTGAAGAATATAAATAACCTATGGTTAAAGAGCTCTTTTGTATATAAAATTAAAATTAAAATTAAAATAAAATTAAAATTAAAATTAAAATTAAATTGAATTAAGTTTTAAAGTGTGTTTGGTATGAAGACAAAATTATGATATAATTTTAATAAGTATATGTATTTAAAATAAAAAAATAAAAACGCCTTTTATTTTATTTTTTTAATGAAAAACTTAACAATTAAAAAATAAAAAATGTACTTTTAAGGCTCAAAATACCTTTTGTTTTATTTTATTGTAATGACACATAAGCCAATTCATGTTGAGAAACTCAATTTCATGACTTCTACAATAGAATTGAAATCCACCAATTTTAATGAAATCAAATTCCTTCAAAAAACAATTTTCAACATACCAAACAAGTCAATTAACAATTCCACATTTGATTTCATTTCCTTACTCACAATTTAAATACCAAACATGGTCTAAGATTATTTTGACCTTTCGTATATACTTCAAGGATATTTTTAACCCTTAAAGGTATTACAGTATGGATTTAATACAAATAGTGCTCTATTATGAGAATTTGCTTCAAAAGACTCAATTTCAATGGCTGAAATTATTTTCCTCCTTGGTTAATTCCTTGTGATGATAAAAAGGATGAAGCCAGGATTTAACGATAAAGGAAATTAAGATTAAAAAACATATATATTCCAAAACTTTCAAAGTCAGAAATGTATAACATCCATATAATGTTAATAAAAATTTAAAAATTAAAGGACTCGTGACATTTGTTGGTCCCTCTCTCAGCCACTTGACAATGCCACAGTCAGCATCTTAACTAATAGTGGATATCAACGCCACAGGCTCCATGGATAAACCTCGCACCAATGCTTTCCATGCGTAGCAAAATATGTCGTAGATATATTTCTAATTGATTCTAACATTCTGGAAAGACGATTGATTCCAACCCACTCCAAAATTATATGTAATCAGGAAACTGATATATGTCGTAAATGTATTTTACTGCCATTACTTGGCCGCAGTCGAAATTCTCTCATCCACTCTTAAAAAAAAAGAAAAGAAAAGAAAGAACTCTCACATTCCAGTTGATTCTAACATTTTTCCCCGGAACATGGTTGATTCTAACACATTCCAGAACCATACGCAACCACGAAAGTGATTTTCACAAGAACATTCAAGACACTTTCCTGGTTCAGCAATAAGCCATGTCCGGGTTTCATCAAACTGCAGAAAATTGCTTCTGAAAGTTAGGCATAAATAGGCTAAGTGTACTTACAAACTCGGAATGTTTCGTTCACCGACTGCTTTATTTCTTCGAGTAAGTTTGATGATCAGGCCCAATGTCACGCGAGCCAGTGTTTATGTAGGGGCCTCGAAAAGTTGCTTGTGGTGGCAATGGCCTTGATGGATCAATAACTGGCTGCCTCGACGACCTGGCAATATAAGTTCAGTTGAGCCGTTGACTTCAGTGCATGCAAAGGAATACAGATCGTAACAGTCCACTACAATATCAATTAACTTACGCCATGTAGAAGGGAAATGCCAAGCCAGCTGCTGCAAAAGCAACTAAGCCAGTAGCAACCATGACATTGCGCGCTCGAGTCATGGATGTAAAAAATGTGGTTAGGAATGTGGCCTGGTAAAAATAGAACGTGTCATAGCCTCTTATAACATAATTTTCAGGTTTTAAGTCAAACCAAATGAACTGCGTAACATAAGTATGTATCAGGATGTGCTAGTAAAATTATGACAGAAAAATCCCGATCTTAGATTGATTATTTCTATTGGTCACAATGGAAAATGAAGTGAGGAAAAAAAATCAAAATTAATAAACTTGATCAAACATAAATATCAAATAGAATTTTGGCAATCACACATCCTCACAAGTCAAAAGCCGGCATGCAGGGGATTTAGATTGCCTAAGATAGTTCATGGGATAAATTTGGGAAAGAAAGCACGAAACAAGGGAGATGGGATCCAGATTACAATAGTAACTAATATATATATATATATATATATTAAAAAATAAATCCACAAAATGAAGCCAAAACATCAAATAGCACTGGCAATTGCATAACCTCACAAGTCATTGTGAACTGAAGGGGATTAAGATCCCCTAGAGTACTTTAGGGCTATCTCTCCTTCTAACTTTTTCCCATATACTTAAGGATTTCTAAATCCATGAGAATGATAAGATGCCAGATGCAGGATTTTCTTCATTGATATTATCTGACTAGGGAACACATTGTCAGAACCATAAAATTTACTCACAGATTTTATCACTGCAAAAAAAAAAAAAAAAAAAAACTGCAGAAGTGCTTCTTTTACACCCGCAGGAGAGTTTTTGTAAACGCACTTGATCTGGGCACTCTGGTAATACCAGAGCACTTTAAAAAGGCTCTAATACGGACGCTTCTATAGGTTTTTTTTTTTTTTGTAGTGGTGTATCCACATTTTATTTTTGGGTTAAACATGATATATTATTAGAAAGGAATAGATGTTACATAGAAGGCTAAGATACTTACTTTCAGCAATGATGCAATGATACGGTAAACAATGCAAGCCCCTTGGCCAAAAAAGAAAACAATGTAAGCCCATCCATCAACAAAATAAGGCTTTCCAATCCCCTTGAAATTGGTTAAGGAGGCACCTCAAAAGAAAGCAAGGGCTGGACAACTAAGAAAGGCGGCTTCATTTAGACCTGAATGCTTTTTTTTTTTTTGTCTTTGTTTTTCTTTTTTTTTTTTGGCTTTCACTCTAGTATCTAAGACCAAGGTCTTTGACCCAAACTAATCTGGTTAACAACTTGCAGGCATTTCTTTGGGAGACATACTTCCCACCAAGAATTTAATTATTGCTGCATACCCAAGACTCAAACTCAAGGTCTCTGGTTAACCTGGATCAACCCCCTAGCAGTTGATTCAAATGCTTGGTGGTACTGAATGGCTTTAAACATTTAAAAAAAAAAAAAATAAAGCAAGGATTTTGCTAAAACTAATTATAGCAAAGAGCAGCACAGATAGCAGAACGTCATAAAGTTTTTCTTCATTTAATAGAACTTAAGGGCCTGAGGATAATAATCATAGGAAATTGTTCTAAACTAAGAGAACACACCCAATCTTCCCCAAAAGCACCATAGAATCTGTTCCATGCGAAAGTAGTCTGGTGGGGCCTTCTAATCTATAGCACACCAGTAGAATTAATCTTCACGACTTATGGTGTTTAGATGCAAGACTTAACCTTGAAGATAGCTTTAGATTTCCAATGGGGCTTAAGAGTGAGGAATTTTGTCTATGAGAAGAGTGTGTGAGGAATTTAGGGGTACTAAATTTAGAACAAGTCAAAATAATTGTGATGTATGGAACTTTTTCTACCATTCAAGCTCCAGAAAAAGTGAAATTTCCAGGAACTAAGTAACTCCTAACTAGGTAAAATAAAAATATGGAATAGGAGACTCGTGCAAAGAGAATGCTTTTCCTTCACGTGTACCCCAAAAAGGATTTTGACAATAACTCCATATAGTTACTAACAGAAAGTCGTATGATAACATCTCCTAACCAAATACCAAGGCATTGAAACTTGACTTGGGAACTGCAAGCAAGAAGAAGATAACCCTTGAACAACTTTCTCAAGCATCTTATCCTAATTTCAATAGGTAGATAATTCCTAAAAATCCAGCGAAAAAAACATAAGAGAAAGAGTAAAGGAGATCATGCAATCAGCCACATAAGCATCCTAGGAATGCTTGGAATTGACACAACATGGATTTGAACTCAAATCTTGCAAAAATTTAACCGAACAGAGAAATTGGAGTCAAGCAAATACCCACATAAAACTCAAAAGGGCAGCCCACCACTTCTATTATTTAAATCAGAACCTAAACTTGAACATACAAAAAGTCTATGAAGACGCCTCTTTCAGCTGAACAAAATCAGCATATCTCCCCAGGAGACTGATTGTGGCAAAATAACGTGACATGGAATGAATATCGAGCAAAAAGTTGCAAAAATTCAAGAAAACTCATGTATATGAAACGATAGGCCACAGAGTGACATAAGCTCCGTATCAATCAATTGCGACCTAAGAAATTGTAAAGGAAGGAGATGAATTTGACAAAACTGAGCACTAATCTAGCTGCCATCTATCATGAATGAAAGCAATTCAGAACCAAAAACCATTGTCCATTAAACATAGAGAAGTTTTGATTTTGAGGTTGAGAGTATACACTACACCATCAATTAACGCAAATGCCAGTACTACAAAATTTCAGTACCTGAAGATCAAAGATTTCAAAATCTCTAAGACAAGTCGAAGTCAGCAGTATCGGAACATAGCAACCAAGTGAATAGATGATGACTGACGAAGATGACGACTCCCAATGGGACGCCGGGTCTGGTTCCAGTATGCTGGACGATGAATTTTTTTTTTTTTTTAATTAGTTGTGCGTTAATTTGTATTTTGGTTTTTTTTTTTTGGACTTTCTATTAGAGTGTGTACTTGATTTTTTTTTTTTGTGATTAATAAATTGGTTTTTTGGGTAAAAACTGGTGTTTTAGATAAATCTGAGCTATATATACCGGCCACACAAAAAAGAGCTATAAATCATTTAGGCCCTCAAGATCTCACCTTCTGGGCCAAGGAATAGTTGTTGGGCCTACTTTTTCTATTTTGAAATGGCCCATGTAAGAGAAATTACATCTAAATCCGTTTTACGTTTTTTACCAAAAAATTGAATCCGTTCTTTGTTCAAAAAGAGAGACATTTGAATCCGTTGGCAATAGTTGGCGCAAAAGAAACTCAGGTGCTGATTTTCTTTTTTCTTTTTTTAACCTCAAAAGCAGACGCTGATTTCGAAGTTCCGGAGCTGGTGCATCCGAATTTGATCCATTGATACAGGGGTTTAGGGTTCATTTACTCATCATCTTAGGTGATAAAATCTAAACCATCTAATTTTAATTTAAATAACTCAGATTTTGATAAATTATTTTATATTTTTATTTTAAAATTATTAAAATAAATAAATTATAAAAATTATAAAAAAATTTAATAAATGTTTTATCATGAACCAGGTTTAAATTTAATTTAATATCAAAAATTTTATAATTTTCAAAACTGTCTCTGTATAACCCAACTTAATATTAGAATTTTTATACTTTTATATTTTGACTACTCATATGTAGTATGCACAATTCATATTTAATAAAAATATAAAACAATTTTTAAAAATATTTTAAAAATTATAATTTAAAAAATTTAAATATGGATTATGCACAATACATCTAAATAATCAATATATAAAAATTTTAATATTAAATTGAACCCTTCAAATTAAATCTTGACCTGATTGATAATAAAAAATTATTATGCTTTTCTATAAAATTTTATTGTAATGAATATAAAATAATTCATTAAATCTGAATGATCTAAATTTCACTACCCCTAATTAGCAACCAAAATGAATCCTTGATATAGGGCATAAAAGTAACAAGAATACAAATTTTTATTTGATTCATTGATATAAGGTGTGATGATAGCATGGCTAAACATACAAGAGTATTTTTTTTTTCTTTTTTTAATAGAACTGGATAATTTCATTCATACAAATGCTGTGGGGGGGGGGAGAGAGAGGCAACCTCCAAACATAAAAAAAGAAACTAAAAGGCACAAACCCGACCATAAAACAACACAAGTTACCTATGTGATGCAGGTCAAACAGCAAGAAGTTAAAATTTAAACTGAGCCAACTTAACAAGATGGTCAATAATATTATTATCCTCCCTATAAACAAGATTAAAATTAACAACCCATTGTCTATTCAATAACTATCTCGTAATATCAATGATATTCAAGAAAGAATGATAATTATTATTATCTCTTGTGATCTTGGAGGTAGCAAACGCACAATTGCAAAAGACCTCCAACAAAGCTCCAAGCCTTTGAAAATTTGAAAACCCTATAAATCTCTACAATGGTAGCTAGAACATCATCTAATTTCCAGCTAAATCCATGTAACCATACACTATTTAGTGTCCTTTAAAAGTTAAAACATTGCCACAGGCACTTTTCTTATTCCTCAAGGTAGACCAATCAATCTCTAACATGATAATACCCTCCCTTATATTGTTACAAGCCACCTCGTGGCCTTGAGAAAGTTGGAGGCTAAACTTATTAGTCAAACTCATATCTACAGCAACCTTAAAGATGAAAGATTAAGGATCCTTAAACACCTCATTATTTTCCTCCTGAAACAAGACTTTGCAACAATTTTTTCAAATATTCTAGCAAGTATGTGTAAAGAGAATGTTCCAAGGCACACACTTAGCAGAAGAGGGCCCTGCTAATTCCCCTGTGTTCCACGAGATCCAGTCCTCTCACTCTAAGTTGAAAAATTTTTGCATGCAATCAAGGTACACATACTCCTCCCACTATTTTTCTAGCATGATGGCACTCACGGAGAGTATCACAATTGAAAGGGCATAGCCCTATTACCATGAGATATGTTCAAACTCTTAAAGCCATTATGTGAACTCTTTCACATGCAATCTGCCAAAAGAAAATTTTCATCTTCTTCAAAATTTTCCATCTCCAAATATTACACCATAAAGGTTTTCTAGGCTCTATTATACTTGCAAGAAGAAGAGAATAACCCGATTTCACAAAATGCATTCCATCAAACCAATAAAGCCAAAAGTGTATACTCTCCTTATAAGGGGCTCTTATACTGGTAATAAGGTTCACAATAGATCTTGGTAGCTAGAGACTCATTTTATGAATATCCTAAGCATTTAACTGGAGGACATTATCATTTACAGTTTTAATTACATTTATGAATTCACGTCCATGTTCCACCATATCAATTAGCAGAATCCTAGTAGATATCCATCTCTTAATTTAGACTAGAAAGACATATGATAAACTAACATGATAGACTTTCCTAATCCTTATTAGAAGGAGTTATAGACCTTGCACATAGTACACCAACAAATAGAGGCTCCAACTTTTTGGCTAACAGTAGGCATTCCGCCTTCTCCACATCTATACTTAGATCAAAGGATTCTGGCTCATAAATCTTTTTGATTAGTCACTAGTTCCCAAAATAACTTCCAAATGAAGGGCTTATTTTGATATTCAAGGTTTCTTATCCTTAGGGCCTCATACTCTTTGTGCTTCTGCAAAATATCCCAAGACAAAAGGTGTAATGTATGCTTGGATAACATCTCAACTCACGTTAGAATGGCCTAAACCTAGGTTGGGATATTAAAAGTTTAAAAAAATTTGTTTGGAAAAAAAATTGTAACTAGCGTTGGGTCTGAATGGGCGTTTTGCCACTTCCCCAGCTTTTACAACGTCACATTGAGTAGGTAGTGGACACTGGGCTTCTCTCTCTTCATTATCTTCGCTACTTGATCCTCTCTTTGTTCTACTTCACCTCTAAATAGTCCTTTGTTCTATTATTTCTACCTTTTTTTCCTTTGCTCCGCTAAATGTAACCACAGATCATCACCATCGTCGTCCGATTTCGACTATATGTGTTGCTTGCATTAATTCTTACTTGTCGTTGTCCCTTCTTCGTGTATTGAGAGTATCCTCACTTCGAGAGTGTGGTTGCTATCATTCATTCTTCTCCAATTAAATCTGTGCTTGCCTGCATCAATGCATTCTTGAACTTCAAGCTCTAACCTTAATGCATCCACCTTCAGCAAAGAAGCAACTTGGGCCACTGCAAAGTTGCAGAGATCACCTATGTTGGCTTCGTGCAAGGAGAAAGGGAAGGAGAGAGAAAACAAACAGAGAGAACAAGCCATGTAAAAACAAAGTGTGTATGGAATAGAAGCTAGTGAGAGAGAAAAGAGAGGTTGAAATTGAAAGGAGCGAGTAAGGGTTTCTTTAATAGCCTTTTTTTTTTTTTGCTTTTCCATTGATTCTTCATACTTCTGCAGGTTTGTACAACTAGACAAGATATGGCAATATTTTTTTTTAACTAATGACATGGCAATAATTTAATGGATCATTTTTAAAATTATTTATTATAATTATTATAATTATATAATATCTTATGAGGATATTAGTGTGGTTATATATTTTTTGGCAATTTATAAAAACAACATTGAATATAATTATTTTTAATTTTATTAAAAACACACACACACACACACACATTATTGTTAGCAATTTGAAAATTTAGACTTTTCATTTATCAATATATTTTATATTTGTAATCTAATTCTTTAAAAAAAATTTAATTTTAAGTTTAATATTTTTGCCTAAAAATATCAAATTAGTCACAAAAATATATACAAAAAAATTTATATTCATTTTTGTCATTAAATATTTCAATTGACTTTTGAATCAAACGATTTAAACAAAATTTTAATTTATTTAACTGACTTTAAAAAAAAATATCCAAATATAAATTATGTATTCACTAACTTTGTTTTAACATCAATTTGCTAATCTTTATCGAATCTTAATTTCAATTGTAAATTTTTTAATCCAACACACACACATAAAGTTTCTTGCATTATCATTATCACCCTAAATAAAATCCCCAACTAGCTTTCTCCAAATCCTGACAGGAGTACTATAAGATACTAAATGAACTACTACTTACAGAATATTTCCTTCCATTCAAAATACATTACATTTTAAATTTTTAATTTTATAAGAATAAAAAAGTAATTAAAAATAATTTGTATTATTAAAATGGTACAAAATTATTATTAATTTCTAAAATTATCATTCAATTAAAATCAATCTATCTTAATTACTTTTAATTTTTTATATAATTTCTCTCTACAATATAATTAAATTAACAAAGACATAGAAAAATAATTTAACGATACTTAATTTTTTGTAAAAAGTTCTACATTTTAAATTTTTAGTAACTGATAGAAAATATCAAAATATCATAAGAGTTTTTTTTTAAAAGAAAAGACAATTTATTACTGAAATTAAAAGTGCAGGACAAACATTTCTTCTTTAGAGAGGAAAAGAAAACAAGAAAAACTGTCCATTAATTTGGCGAACACAACAAACAATTAAGAAAAATTGTTCTTAATAGTTTCTTACCCGTATATGATTCTATATGCAAGGACAATCAAAATAAAGAAACCTCTCCGTTCCTCCTCCTCTTTGTTTGGGTGTTTAAAACCCGACGCTAAATAAAAGCCCACAGTAGAGCATAGCGGCATACCCAGGCTGCTAGGCATCTCATTTATACTACTCACTCGAACAATTCAAATAAAAAAATCAGGGTAGAAAAAAATGAATAAGAGAAGAGAAAAGAACATATGAGAAAACTATTGTTCAACACAAAGTCACAAACCACTAATAAGATGGACGCTATTAATAAAAAAATCCAGTGACTATTAGTCCATCATAGGCAAATAAATAGCACACCAGAGGCAGATCAACATATATCCAATAAGTACAGACAACCAAGATCTATATAAAGATTCTCCAGGTCGGAGAATTCTACAACAGTGACAGTGTGACACCGTACAAAAAATACATTACCCAGCAGAAACCTGTATAATTTCGACATTTACTTTCATATTTTCACTTTAAAGTCGATTCACTTGGCAAGCATGTTTTGCTGGGCCTGATTTTCCTGCTGCTGCTGATAGTTCAGAGGCCTCCTGAAAAGCATGATATGTGGCTCAGGGCGATGAATTGCATAATGAACCCAACCACGGCTTTGTTGAACCCCAATTGCACGCCACTCATTCTGTGTCATAAAACCAATATAAATCATTTAAGCGCGCAACCATTTAGTTTCCAGTTGATGAAGACCATCAAAGAGACCAAGACTCTGAATACTTAAGGCAAATAGCCGTCCAAATTCCTCTTAATACAGGAGTTACCAATGACACTCAGGGCACCCTAATCAACTGCCTAAGAATTAATCTTGAGTTCGGTTTCGGAGCAGGGCTCAGACGTCAGCCCTTTAGATTGACTTAACAACCAAAAGCACATTAAAATTAAAATTATACAGGCACCTCTTATGTTCTACAGTAAATCACGCGGACCATGAATCGGAAACAAGCAATTCAAGCAAGAATCGACAGGCAAAAACTGAACCGCAAACACTTACTTCAGAGAGAAGCCGATTCTTGGGAAGCAGTTTGGCCACTTCAGGAGGCAGAACCACATGCCTAAACGTAAAAGATATCCAAGAGATGAATCGAAAAGTTTCCCAAAGAAGCGCGAATTGAATAGCGAAAAGCAGATGACGATGAAGAAAATCGATACCTGTACTCATAAGTATCATCGAAGTACTTCTCAGAGTACTGGATCTGACCCATCTCTAACTGTGAAGGCAGTCTGGCACGGGGACGATAGGGTTTGCCGATTCAATCTGCAAATATAAACATTTATAGGCAAAATCTTTAAACTATGAAATTCTCAGAAAAGAAAATAATAATTCAGGAGAAAACGGCGATCAATTCAGTTACCACTGGGAGTTTGGGGCGGGGAAGTGGGGATAGAATCAACGTGGGGAGAGGATATATAATGGAGAAGAGGGAGAGAAGGGTACAGCATATCAGAGAAGGAAACTCAAGAGGGGCGATTTTGTAATTTCAGAGGGTTGATACATAGTATGTGAGTGGAGTGGCTGCATTTTTTAAAAAAATAAATCACTATAAAAATAGAAATAAATATTAGAAATTAACGGCCAGAATTTGGAGCTTCAAATTTTGAAACTTCGCGCTTTGAGAATTTTCTACACAGCGCCCTAGGATGATCATTAAACACAACGGTAACATTCTATTGGGCTATCCAGATTCCAGAGGTGGGTGCTTGTAGCTGTGAAACGGGCCGTATTCTTCTCCAAAAACCATATGGACCTTGAACTGGATTATTAAAACCCAGTGTCAATGTTGGTCGTACGAAGACCCAGTCTGATCATCTGTGTATCTTTTGCTTTTGCGATGCACGCCCTTTAAACTAGAATTAATTAAAAAAAAAAGAAAAACATTGAAAATATTATCCCATCTTTTCCAATTTTTCTCTTATCACCAAGCCAAAAAAGAAGAGAAAATAAATGTGCTCTTGATCCACAAAAGAACAAGGGTTCTATAGAAATCGCACTAGAATCTCCACAATCAAGCCAAAAGTAACTTAAAATCAAAAATAAGTTTTAAAATTTTTTGTAGAGCTAGTCATCCAAAAAAAAAATCATTTCTCGCTCATCTTTATCTCGACTGTGAGTATTGTACAGTTCATTCTCACAAAATCTTATCCCTGGATACTATTTACATGAAAACCAAACCCACAAATTGGAAAACTTGTTCACAAAGTGTGACATGTGAAAAGGAAAAAGAAACTAAACTTATTATCCACAAAGATCTGTTGTCAGCCCAAAATCGTAGGCCGAAACATAAGGGAAAAAAAGTCTTCTTAATCTTTGTCTACTCTTAATGAGTCAATACCCGGAATAGGCTCTTAAATAAAAATCCCATTAGTTGTTAGAAAACTCGAAGTTGAAAACTACTAAGCTTTTTGCCTTGACCTTGACACTAGTCTTAGCCTTTCCCAGGGCACCTTTCCTTTTTTCCTTGGCTTGGTGGGAAAGGTTGTTATTGGGATCTCTGGTTCAACTTCGCTCCTTAGGAATGCAAACGATGCTTGGATCTGTAGCACATGCAGGAAGGTTGGCAAATGAAAGCTAAGTCTGGGCATTGAATAGCCATTAACATCATCATCTAGGAATCTATGAATGCCTGGCGGTCCTTCCTCAAGAAGGTGGTAGCTATAACATTCTGAGTTTTAATTTCTTGATTAATTAAACCTAATTAGGATAATTAAGTAAATTGAAGTGGTGTGTGGCCAGAGAAACCTAATAATCATGTTTGATAATATTTCAGCCCTAGTTGTGGGTTCGGTATTGAGGCAGGCCACCTGAGCATCGAAAGAAGAAGAAAAAGAAGAGTTGAAATTGTTGTCCCAAACGCCGTGGTGCATAGATCGTCTACCACGGCGTACAGCCATCTCTGAGCGAGGGAGGACCTCTCTGTGCCATATGTCATGTCGCATGGCCATTTTCTGCACTTTATCAAATATGAAATGAGATAGAAAAAGAAAGAAGAGAAAAAGAGATAAAGAAGATGCACGCCAAAGCTCTGCTAGGGTTTGTTTAGGGACTACTTGGAGAGTATTTTGAAAGTTACAAACACCCAAGGTAAGTATCATACTCATTAATCTCCCTTTTTCTTTCATGTTTATGAGTTTATGGTTAGGATTTGATAGTGAAAGTGAGATTTCAGTCCATATAGGTTATAGGTCCAAATTTGTTGACTTAAATAGAGTTAATGAGGATAGATTAGAGTATTTAAACTTAGATATGATGAGTTTTTGTGTCTTGAATTATTGGGCACCATAAATACCTGAAAATCTCATTTTATTATAGGTGGTTGAAAGTTTGTGATGTCATTAATGGGGATTTAATGACTTATTAATGCTATTAGGGACTAAAGGTAATTATCAAATCCAATGGTTAGTCTTCACCTTTTGTAAAGTGAAGATTGGCCAATTTAGAAGTAGAGATTAAAGGTTTAAATATTTGAGTTTGTTATATTGATGAAATTCAACTTGGTTGATTGTAGTTTTAGCTCTTGGTCACCTATTGGAGTAGAAATTCAAACTTGAAAGCTAATTGATTAAGGGATAAACCTTTGACCTTCAAAGGTTTGAGATAATCAAAGGAAAACTTTACTTTGGGTAGTTGTATGTTAATTAATGGTTAATTGGTTGTTGACTGTGATATTATGAATGTTACATGTAGGGAATTGATTGTTTAAGTAAAAACTATATGTTAGTTTCATTGAGTACATGAAAAAGCTATTATTGGCTTGAAATGCAAAATGCAAAGTCAAAAGGATTATACTATAAAAATACTTATGTTTTGAAAAATGAATGCGATAATGAGTAGAGATATTTGTGTGTTAGTCATGAAATAAATTTGAGAAAATAATGAGAATACATGCTTGGGTAGTGCAAGGTTGTAAGCCCAAAGTGGTTGTTGTAATAGTAAGTAAATGAAAGTGAAAAAGTAAACTCAAGTGAGTAATAATTATGGCATGATTAGTGGCAGAAATTTGCCTAGGGATTTAGGAGTAAAGAAAATCTATATGGTAATTAGGCTGCCCTCCGGTGCGCGAGGGTTATAGCCTTATCCCACTGTTTGTTGAGGAATTGTTTCATAGTTTGTTGAGGGGGTAGAACCTAGCTATCTCTACCGATTTAATGAGGAGAATAGCCTAGAATATGAGACACCTCAAGGATTTGAGAATGGGGGAAGCCGTAATCCGAAAGTGAGTCTTGTGATCTTTGATTAGGTCACATCTCACGATTGGTAAGTTTGGGTAGTCCAATCACATGGACATAGTCCTAATCAATGTTATAACCCACAATTTTAGTCTGAAAAAATAAAGAGGATATAAGGTTAAATGATCATTAGTAAATATATGACGTGTCACATATGCTAAGTAGTGGTAAGTCATAAAAGTATGAGTCTTGTCACATATTTAAGAATATAGTGACAATGCACTTAGTTATGTGAGTAAAGAAGCTATAGAATGATAAATGATAAAATGTGATATATGGGGACATATTTTATAAATTTGATCTCCTTGTGCATGTATTTATTTTATAATTGATATATAACTGCATAGGGTAACGTTAACCTTAGTTACTAAGTGGCTAGACTTACTTATCTTATTTAATACTTTTCAGGCTCTAGCTCTGGTGTTGAGAGGGAGAAGATTAAAGAGGCGGGGAATTAGCATATTCCTACTGTATGCCTCTAGTTTAGCTTTAATTGTGTAATAGTATATAGCTTGTCAATTCTGGGATGCATATTACCTCACTTGCACTATTTTAATTGTTGAAAATGTTAGAATTGTATTTTGAGCTCTTAGCCTTTGGGTATGTTGACATATATATGTTTATAGGGTTAAAATACTAGTGCAAGTATAGAAATAAAGATTTGAGCATGTTTTGAACAATTTGAATTAAATGCATTAGTAAATTACCTCCCCCTTTGTTTTTTGTAAAATGGGGTTGAGGAGTGAATTTTAGTTATACTGATATTTTGATACTTGTGACGTGTTGTACTAGCAGTCTTAGGTCCATTGGACATGATCTAGGTGTTAGAAAAAGCTTTTGGCATCTGTTGAGGGTTTTGGACACCCATTCTGTGTAAAAGTATTAAAAAGTGGTTAAAATGTGTTTGGGTGTCCAACTTCCTAGTGTGATTTATTTTGAAAGTAAAACTTGTGCCATTAGTTAGTATAGGGAAAAAGCTTTTTATAGACACATAAATCACATTGTTTGGATGTCGGACGGAGAATTAGGGCGAGTCAGAAGTTCCCCTGATTCTACTATCAAATGACAACAAAACCAGTGAAATTTCGCGCAACACACTGTGGTGCACAGTGCTTGAGCCACAATGTATGGCATAAAAAGCAACATGCCACGACACATTGCTCTGTATTTCAGTACATAATTTGTTATTAACTATTTTCGACCTTTTTCATTCCTCTGAGGTATCCCATACTTCTAAAACTTATTTTTACTTTGATATGAAAGGTTTTGATTGATTTTTAACTCGTTTCTATTTAGAAAACTTGAGATCCCTAACTTATGGGTTAAAACTTGGTAATTACTTTTTGAGCTAATCCTCTTATTACCGTGAGTTTCTTTTATTAATTTTGTTTAGTGGAGTGAGAACGTTACAGTAGCCAAGTTCCTGAGAAAAGCATAGCTTGTGAGAAAGTTTACATTATGCTTTGTCTCCTTGTAGACGTGGCATACTTCAACAATCTAGTCTCTTTCTAATAATCCACGGATGGCCAGTAGCATTCGAGAGTTTTCCTTGATCAAGGAGTTTTAAGCATTGATCATCTGCACAAGAGTTCCATTGTCAGACTCTACTTGAACCTGATTCTAGCCCTTCAAACATGCTAAGTAGAGGACATCATGAATGGCCACAGCTCTACAATCATAATACTGCATGAGGATATTCTTTTCTTCTTCACTCTATGGAGGAATAATATACAGCTTTGGAATTGAAGGTAGGTAACCTCTTTCTTCAGCAGCATGATCAAATCGAGTGATAGCATAAAAAAAGATTATTGAACCTTAGGAGAGTGAAACAAGTAAGGCAAAACTTAGCATGAACATATTCTTCATTCTTTATATTAAAAGATTATATATGATCAAAGGAGTGATTAGAAAGATACTTTAGACATACTATCAGGCCTCTCGTTGCCCTGTTAGTTTAGGCGAGTAATGATTAAGCTTCCTTCGCTCTTTAACAGGCTTTGATCATAGAAGATATCCAAAATGATCTTTCTTTGAACTATTAGCTATTCGATTGCCATTCACATACACAATTTCAAATCAATTACTCACAGAGGATGGAAGAGCACTTCAATGCCCACTTTCCTCTCGCTGTCTAGCTGACTTGCTTACTTGAAATTCAATTAAAATAAGGTTGAAAACTCAAAAATGGAATAGCTTGGATGCAAAGAAAGAATCATCATGCACATAAAAAAAGGTTTGGAGCTTCATTTACAATTCAGTTTTGTGTTTATCCACATTTGAGCAAGTTTAATTATAGAATGTACAAAAATCCTTTTAGTTTTGAGATTTTTGTCCACCCATTCTCTCCCATTCTAAACAAGTTCTGCATGCGAAGCTGAGAAACCCTTGCCGAATGAAACTTTAGAGAATTACTATATATCATACGGTGCTCTGCTCAACCCGGGGAAGCAAGTAACGCATCAACTTATGAAGAGGTTCTGGAATGTCTTGGGGGCAAAGCTAGCTAACCATGCATAACACTGTAAAAACAGCAATGAAACGTTGTTCCAAACCGATGCTGGAATTCCCTCACATGATGAAAGCATAGCTACCTTCCCTTCTGTCTAATAATTTTAAAGTTTGAGTCAATATATTCGTGCAATCCGTAAAGTTAAAATACTGAAGTCTCAGACACCATCTGCCGGCCCAGAACACTGCTTTTTCACTTTATTGCCGACAACAGCTGTTAGACTTGCAATATTAGTTTACATTTTGAAGGAAAGAACAATCCTATGACCTGAATCCCTAGATGTCTTGAGTTTCATGCACGAAATTCTAAAAGAGAAAAGTGTCGCATTAAAAATTGGTAGCCCAGAATCCCAGATGCTGTCCTGCATTGATTCACTCACCACAATATATGCTCATCACTTGCTTCTGCTTCAAAGCATTCATTTCCCTATATTCTAGCCCCAGAAGCAGCCTTTAGAAATGGCCCTTCCTCAATCACAGGGTCAAGCAGCAGCCAGACCAAGGCGGTCAGGCCTGCTTCGTTATATAGCCATTGCCATTTTGGCGCTGATAGTGCTGGCAGGCATAACAGTGCTCATAATCTGGTTGGTTGTGAAGCCCAGACGTTTTGAGTACAGTGTGGAAGACGCTTCAATCCACAATTTCAACTTAACAGATGCTAACCACCTCTATGCCGACTTCGATTTCGACATAAGAGCGTACAATCCCAATTCCAGGGTCTCCATTTACTATGACACCATGGAGGTGTTTGTGGTGTACGAGGATCAGACACTGGCCACCAATGCAGTTCAGCCATTCTTCCAACGTCACAGAAATGTGACTAGCCTTCAAGTGAGGCTCGCTGCTAAGACCGTGTCCTTATATGGGTCTTTGCCTGAAGACCTTAAGCTGGAGAAACGCTCAGGGGATATTGAACTAGACGTGTTGATCAAGGCGAGAATACGGTTCAAGGTAGGGGTGTGGAAGTCGAAGGATCGCACCATGAAAATCTTTTGTTCACCCGTGCTGGTCCACTTTTCTGTGTCCAAGAATTTCGAGAGGACCCTCTGCAGCGTAGAACTATAAGCAAGAGCAATCCTTGCGAGCGTGTAAACGTGACGGTGGAAATTGTACGTGTACGGGCTAATTGGGCTTGTTCCGTTGGTCTTTTTTGGGTTTGGATATATTTCTTTTCTTTTTTTTTTCCGGGTTTATATGCTGTTTTGCCTTTCCGGCTTTCTAGTATTTTCACATTCTAATTTGCGTCGTTTGTGTGGATTTGGTTTTAATTTGTTGTTCGGGCCGATTGGCGCCTGTAATGAGAGTAGTTGAACTCAAATGTGTATATGCAAGCCTTTCATGTGTTTTGGGCTTTTTGAAGGAAATCCAGCTACTGGCATGCAACATCGCTTGGATTAATCAAAGCCCATTTGTTACGATGTGATGTGCATATGGTGTCTTATCGAAATCTAAATCAGAAGAGGGGAAAGTCGAGATAGTGAGAGAAACAAGCATTTAAAGAGCCATTTAATATAAGGTGGCTTGTGGGTAGTTGGTAGTTGGCAGTGCGTGGCACCTAAATCCCCTTCGATTTTACCAGGCTTTCAAGTAATGCCAAGAGGAAAGAAGCATCCATCCATATGTATCGTTGGCAAGTAGAGCAAAACTAATATTAAAGCACGAAAATGACTCTTTGGCATCTCCTTTCAATGTCCATTCGATCCCTCTTGTTGTTCCCAACAACATTGACAATGTTGTTTCGTCTTAAAATTACTATTTTTTTGCTAGGCGTCTGAAAGGTTGCGATAAAAAACATTGTCTCTCGTTTCCAAATCTCACCAACTTAGAAACTTGAAATTCCCCTCCAAGGACAGCTAAAACTAGGATTTTGTGCCTCCTCATGTTTTATTTTCTCCTACAATATTACTAACTTTTTTTTTTGTCTTTATATATAAGATTTTTAATCAAATCATATAAATCAATAAAAAATAATTATCTAATTAAAAATACAACAACATTTTAATTTTGTTGATAATTATTGTGAATATGAGATAATTTTTTTAAGTAAATTAAAGAAAATACTTATCTTTTTTCCTTTCCAATTTAATAAGGATATAATGGCCCATTTATTAAAAATATGTTAAAAATCTGTTATATTTAAGAATAAAAAAAAATTCTATAAAGCCTTTCATATATATAAGGATGGAAGGAGTATAATTTATAGACTTTTTGTGTGGGTGAATTTAAACACTACAACATTTTTCCCGCGCAATATATATGACAGCGACCTGTAAGATCCTGCCGCGCTTAATATATATATATATATATATATCAACAAAACTCGTCCATGTAATGTATACATAAATTTTCCATTATCAATTTGTTGTTATAAATTAAGGATTAGAAGGGGAGAAAATGGGAAAATAACCTTTGGGTGGGGGGGATGTTGTGTTAATAAAAGTGGCAATGGATAGTTGGCTCCTTAGTCCACATGAACTACCGCGTTTTCTATTTTCTTTTTTCTTCGGACTGTTCTAAATAACTTGTTGGCTTCTCTCCACTAATCCTCATTTGCATCACGTGGCAAGATTTGGATAGTTTAAATTTAATTTAAAAAATTTAAATTTATTTTTTATTTTTATTTTATGTTTATTAGAATAAAAAATACAATAATAGAAACATTTAATAATTTTGTTGATAACCAATCTGGACAAATTTAGTCTTACAATTCTAATCATCCACAGTAAGTATAATTGCCAGATTGGTGATCAGCAAAATTATTATTTTTTAATAATGTTTATAAATTTTTATTTTAATAAATATATAATAAAAATAAAAAAATTTAAATTTGAATCGTAAGATTAAATTTGAACGATTTAAATCTTGCCATGTGGTACAAATGAAGGGTAGTGGAGGGAAGGTTTATTGGAGAGAAGGCAATACCAACTAACTCTGCCCCTCAAAAAAGAAGGTCTGCACACATGCGATCATACACCCACAACACGCACATTTAATAATATTTTTATAGATAATTTGGAGATAAAACACACAACCTCTCTTTTTCATGAGATGTGGGATATCATTGATCCAGAAGGTTAACGTACAACTTTTTTGGCCACCACATTGTTTTAACACACGGGCAACACCGTGTGCAAATAACATGTGAATTAATTCGATACTCTAATTTCAAGATCAAGTGCAGGTGTAATGTTTCATTAGTCGGCATATAGTTAAATCAAACCCTTTCGTCTTTGGCCAAAATTGCTAGATCAAATCTCGATCCATTAGGTTACATTCAATTGATATTTTATTATTGGACCCAGCTGCTGCAAGATGTATTGTGTTGCCGAGAATTCATGAACAAGTATTTTACTTTCAACATTGAAACTGATAAGTAAATCAAACGTTTATTATTAATTAAGCTACTGGGAAGTATATCTACAAGTAATATTTTTCATTCAATTCACTGCAACCTTAATATCAGGTTTTCACTCCATGACTCACTAGTACAAAATATAAAATTTATGGGGTACTTTTTACATCGGTTGGAAGGCAAACGGTGTAAAAAATAAAAACGGCGGTATTTTTGTAATTATCTTGAATTATGTGACACTTTTTACCTCGGGTGTCCAGGCACCCGATGTAAAAAGTATATTTTTTACACCGGGAATGTTTTTTAAATTTATTTCTCCCTTCATTCATTAGTTCCCTCGTCTCCTCCTTCTCGCGCCCTCCCTCTCGTCTCCCCTTTGTCCGCCCACTCCCCCTCCCCCTCATCTTCTCCCTTGCCGGCCGCCCTCCCCCTCGTCCGCCCAGCCTTCCCACTCGTCCGCCAAGCCCCCTCTCCCTCCTCCCCTCGCCGCCCACTCCCCTTCCCCCTCGGTCCGCCCAGCCCCCTCCCCCTCGTCCTGTCGCTCCCCCTCCCCCTCCCCCTCCCCCTCGGTTCTCCCGGCCGCCCCCTCCCTCTCCCCCTCGTCCCGCCGCCCCTTCCCCCTCCCACTCCCCCTTCCTCGGCCGCCTATCCCCTCCCCCTCGTCCCGCCGCCCGTCCCCCTCCCATTCCCCCTTCCTCGGCCTTCCCCCTCCCCCTCATCCCGCCGCCCACTGCCCCTCCCCCTCTCCCCTTGCCCACCCCTTCACTCTCCCGCCCCCTGCCCCTCTCCCTCCCTTTTGCCCCCCTCCACCACTCCTTCTCCCTCCCTCTCAGTGTTGAGCCGTTGCTGCAGCTGCCACCACCCAGGTATGTGTTGAATATAAATTTTTAAATTTTATAATGTTTAAATTTAGTTTTTAATGATATTGATTGTTGCTGGGAGTGCTGTTAGTGGCTTCATAAAGCCTCAGGTTATTGCATGTGATTCATTTATTTGGTTTAAAATTGTTAATTTTTTCGTGTAAAAATTTTCTAAAACTTTTGGGAAGTCCAATTTTTATGGGAGACTCTGTCGAAATTTTTTTGAATTTATTCTTTCCTTTAATTTTTTTTAAATTTAGTTTTTAATGATATTGATTGTTGCCGGAAGTGCTGTTAATGGCTTCATAAGGCCTCAGGTTGTTATATGTGATCATTTATTTGGTTTAAAATTGTCAATTTTCTCTTGTAAATTTTTTTTAAAAGTCTTGGGAGATCTAATTTTTAAGGAAGATTCTGCCGAAATTTTTTCAAATCTTAATTTAATTAGGAACTTAGTTTTTTAAAATAGTTTGAAGATAATAACATTAGTTATATTCTTTAGGAGGTGACATATGGATCGTAGTTGGATGAATGCTAGACGAACGAGTGACGAGTATGATAATGGGGTGAAATAATTTTTGGAATTTGCTAAGAAAAATGCTGCTGACAATAGTGAAAGGTTCTATTGTCCTTGTGTTAATTGTTTAAATGAGAGGAGACTAGGTATTCCCAAAATAAGAGAGCACTTAGTTTGTGATGGGATTTGCAAAAATTATACAATATGGATTTGGCATGGTGAACGATTGGAAAATTATAGTAACACATCTCAATGTGTGGGAGTTGATAATCTTGATGATGAAGTAGAAATGAATGAAGATCGATTAGAGGACATGATCTGTGATGTTGGGGAAGAGGCTTTTGAACGAGCACATGTGTATGATAACTTGTGCACTGACGCAGAGAAGCCTCTATACCCGGGGTGCACTGGTTTTAGTTTGTTATCTGGGGTGTTAAAACTAGTTACCTTAAAGGCAAGAGCTGGGTGGAGTGATCAAAGTTTCACATGGTTGTTAGAGTTACTTCAAATAATGTTTCCGAAGGGTAATGTACTACCAAATCGTTATTATGATGCCAAGAAGATCTTGTGTCCAATGGGTATGAAGTATAAAAAAATACACGCATGTCCTAATGATTGTGTGTTGTACAGAAAAGAGCTTGAAGGGGAGGAGAAGTGTTCGAAATGTGAGGCACCACGGTACAAAGAGAAGGGGGCTCCTACAAAAGTCTTATGGTATCTTCCAATTATACCAAGGTTCAAGCGTTTGTTTGCAAATACTAATGATGCAAAGAACTTGATGTGGCATGCAAATGAGAGGATATGTGATGGAAAATTTTGACATCCAGCCGATTCTCCTCAATGGAAGAAAATTGATCAATTGTTTCCCGAATTTGGCAATGAGCCAAGGAACTTGAGGCTTGGACTTTTTACCGATGGAATGAATCCTTATGGTAGTCTTAGTAGTATACATAGTTCATGGCCTGTTCTTTTGGTGATTTACAATCTATCACTTAAGTTGTGCATGAAACGGAAGTACATGATGCTATCCATGTTGATTTCGGGACCAAAATAACCTGGAAATGATATTGATATTTATCTAAGACCTCTGATTGAAGATTTGAAAGTGTTGTGGGAGGTAGGTGTGGAAGTGTTTGATGCAAATCGAAAGGAGAATTTTAAGTTACGTGCTATAATCTTTTGTACTATAAATGATTTTCCTGCATATAGAAATTTGTCTGGCTATAGCGTGAAAGGTCATAAAGCTTGTCCAATTTGTGAAGAAAGCACAAACTACCATCAACTTCAACATGGAAGGAAGACAGTCTACCTTGGCCATCGGAGGTTTCTTAGACGAGATCACCCATATCGTAGATTGAAGAAAGCTTTTCATGGTCACCAAGAACACAATGATGCTCCGGATGCTTTGACTGGGGATCAAGTATATGAACGTGTGAAAAACATTAATATTGTCTTCGGTAAGACTAAAAAGAATACTGGTGCAAAAAGCATATGGAAAAAAAGGTCTATCTTTTTTGACCCCCCATATTGGCGCAATCTTGAAGTAAGGCATTGTATTGATGTTATGCATGTGGAGAACAACATTTGTGATAGTATTATTGGAATGCTTCTGAACATACCAGGTAAGACTAAGGATGGTGTGAATGCAAGATTG